GTTATCCAGGAGTTAGCATTGTTAGGTTCTATCACCTCTTCAACATAGAACTCCCATAAAGGTGTTTCCTTAGGAGCTGCAGTTATTTCCACCATTTTGGTAGATAACAGCTGCATTTAGTTTCTGTAGCTTTATTACCTAGATAGGATTTATCTAGGAGCTGTTTTGAGAGAGTGACAGATTTGTATTTTATATCTGCACCATGACCATCAGTGACCATCTAGCATCTCTCTTTTTCAGTGATTAATGCTTTTATTTTACTCCAGATCTTTCCTACTCCTAGCTTTGTATCCATCCTCTACCACACTTTTATGCAGTTGTTCCTCTTAGTGAATATAATAGTGCACTGTTTAGTGGATTATCCCCCTGTGACATTTTTTCCTGACTATTGATTGCAACCAATAATAGCTACTGATCAGGAGAGTCACGAGGGGCATTCCACCTACTTACTTAGAGGCAACTGCTTACCACTCCTCAAGTGGGAATATTTTGAACAATCGTTTAAAATTTATTTTACCGGACATTTGGATGCATTGTTCTGAATTAGTTCCCTGTGAAATTTGGTGGTTGTCTATCCTATCAAGTTTTTAATTTTAATTTAATGATACAAACATTTAAATACATAAAGGGAATCAACACAGTAAAGGAGGAGACTATATTTAAAAGGAGAACTACCACAACTAGAGGACATAGTCTTAAATTATAGGGGCAAAGGTTTAAAAATAATTTTAGGAAGTATTACTTTATTGAGAGGGTAGTGGATGCATGGAATACAGAAAAAAAGATAAAAAAGGTTAGCGCTAATAATAAATAAATAAAATAAATAAGAGGCAGCAGCCTTATAGGGGGTCACCCTCTAACCCTCTACAATAAGAGTATACACAAAAACAAAGAACAAGGCTGCGCCAAAAGGGTGATTAAAACAAGTCCAAATAAAATAGTAATAAAATGTTCTAATAAAAGAGTCCCAATAATGGATGATGTCTCAACTGATATGGTGTCTTCTTTGGTAATAGTCGTCCGTCTCACGATATGAAAGACACAATGGGAAAGAGCCAATTGTGCAGAGTGTATAAATAAATAATTTAGAAATTAAAATATAAATTACACACTCACATTTCCATGAGCTAGGACCAGCTCTAGTATGATGGGCATACGGCGGATAACCCTCCGCTTATGGGGGTGCTTGTCCTCCTGGAGAGTGCTGGTGTCCAATTCTCAGGAAAAGAAAATAAAAACAGCCAATAGTGCTCTCTGGTGAGGTAGTTAGTAGGAAGATTAAAAAATAAATAAAATATACTCACAAGTAGAGTGCAGGTCTGTCTGCACTCTATATTCGCGTGGGTGGTATGATCCCCACCTTAGGATATGCCAGGAACAATAAATAAGGATTAAAATGTAATAGGTATAAATATAAAATTATTTATTAGTACAATATAGTAAAACCAATAACGCGTTTCGCCGTAGAGGCTTTATCAAATTGGAATCTTCCTACTAACTACCTCACCAGAGAGCACTATTGGCTGTTTTTATTTTATTTTCCTGAGAATTGGACACCAGCACTCTCCAGGAGGACAAGCACCCCCATAAGCGGAGGGTTATCCGCCGTATGCCCATCATACTAGAGCTGGTCCTAGCTCATGGAAATGTGAGTGTGTAATTTATATTTTAATTTCTAAATTATTTATTTATACACTCTGCACAATTGGCTCTTTCCCATTGTGTCTTTCATATCGTGAGACGGACGACTATTACCAAAGAAGACACCATATCAGTTGAGACATCATCCATTATTGGGACTCTTTTATTAGATGCATGGAATAGCCTTCCAGCTGAAGTGGCAGTGGCGGATCCAGAGCCTGATCTCAGGAGGGGCACTTGTAGATTATTTAAATAAATAATCCTGGCACAATAACCACTACAGCTCAGTGTAGTAGTTATGGTGCCAGTAGTGCCAGGATCCCACCCCAGAGTAAGTAGTCATACCATTTAAGAACAGTTTGACAACATACCTGGGGACTGCTGGGATATAGGGCATAGGAGCAGTGGTGTGTGTTAGGGGTAGAGTGTGTGTGTGAAAGGTGCAGTGTGTGTGAGCGGTGAAGTGTGTATGTGAGTGCGTGAGGGCGGCAGTGTATGTCAGGGTTGCAGTGTGTGTTAGGGGGCAGTGTGTGTGTGAGGGTGGCACTGTATGTGTGTTTGGGGCAGTGTGTGTATGGGGGGCACTGTATGTCTGTGTGGGGCAGTGTGTGTATAGGGAGGGCACTTTATGTATGGGGCAGTGTGTGTATGGGGGTACTGTATATATGGGGGGGTCGTGTGTGTGGGTCAATGTGTGTATGGGGGGCAGCAGTCTGTGTAGGGCACTGTATGTGTCTGTGTGTGTATAGTGTGCAGTGTTTGTGGGGCAGTGTGTGTATGGGTGTGCAG